AAAAAAAAATAAAAAAAAAAAAAAAAAAAAGAAAATTTGTGTATATTTTCATCATTTAACGAAAAATTTTTTGTTTTATGTTTTTTTTTCTCTTTTCACTGATACGTAAAATTACAAAATGATTAATTATTGCTGCAATTTTTCTCAAAATTTTTTCCTTTTTTCTTTTTTTTTATCTCTTCCCTTTTTTTTCTTCAGCTTCCTCTCTTCTGTCATCATTTTTCTAACAATACTTCATTTAATTTCTTTTAAAAAAAAAAATCATAATGATGCAACTTTTTTTGCACATTCCTTTTTTCCACTTTAATCCTTCATATGCAAATATCTTTCAGAATTAATCATTAACCGTAATTGAAAATATTTATATGAAGAGATGAAAGGAAAGCATTTCGTTCTAGCTTGATTAATTATTTAAGCTTAATTAATCATTGTTAATGATGGAATGAAAAAAAAGTAGAAGGGAAAAAACAGCAAAAAAAGAATGGAAGCACTTGCCATAAATTTTAATAATTAAATCTATTATTAATTTTATTTAATTTTTCAAACACAGTTAGTGCCAAATATATACATTTTCTTTTTTTTTTATTACTTGATCTAATATTTAATTTAATATCAAAAATATTTGATCTAAAACTTAAAATAATATTTGATTTGATATGTATAATACAACAATTCCTCACAAATTTAGTCTACAATTCCTTTTTTTGCCATCATTTTTCAATAAGTTTATCAAAAGTAGAAAATTATGAAAAATAACGAATTACTTAATTACTTAAAAAATAAGGATGTTAAATTACGAAATTATCAATTTGATGTATTAAAAAAAAAGGTATGACAATAAATGAAAGGTTTAATTAATACATTGAAAAAAATAATTACAATTGTAATTATCCTCCGTATTGTAATTTTACAATGACCTATGAAAATGAAACCACAAAAAAAAAAGATTGTACTAATAATTAAATATTTAATTACTGCTATGAAAATTAATTTGACGAATTATTAGTATGACAGTATGCAAATGACACTAAATCATATATTAACAAATTCATTTTTATACAATTAATTTAAGTTTACTACAATAGGCAACCAATTACTATTATAGTAATATATACTGGATAAAAGCTTATGTTTACTTTAAAATTTTTACTTTTTTAAATAAATATTAATAATTAATAACAAATTTTTCAATTTCAGCAATATCAATATACCTCAGATTTTGATTATCGTCGTCGTCCAAATCATTTCATTATTAATAGTATTAAAAGATTACGACCATTTAAATCTGTTCGTATTGTGACAGAATTATTTGATCGACAAATGTAAGTAATTCATATTAAAATTAAATTTTTTTTTTCTTATAGGAAAAAAAGAAAAAAATATTAATAAAAACTTTTACAAAAAAAACGCAAAATTTTTTAATATTTTTATTTAATTAATATTCAAGTATTATGTGCTTGAATTGTATGTGAAATTTAATTAATTTTGAAAAAATTTAATTTGCTTTAATTTTTAATGAATTACAGTGATTTTAATTTTTTTGTGAAATTTAACTCACTTTTTTATTTGATTTTTTTTTTTTACTCAGAAAACAACCATCACGAGCAATGAATAATTCGAAATTGTTACGCTCACGTGAACGGTTACAGAATACGGTAGGACAAACCTATCCTCGATCAAGATTTTCCTCTTCCTATGCCAGAAATGTTAGCATTCATTTTTGTTGAAAAAGTATGAAAAACAAAATAAGTAAATATGGCAGTACTGTACCATGCTATACTAGTACGATAGCACAATACCGTATAATATGGGAAAAGGAAACGATAATTTTTACTAAATAAATTCCATTACTATTCTATTCCAGTAACCCATTACTATTCCATTTTACTATTCCATTGTTCCATTCCTATACATCATTACTATTCTATTCATGTGTTCTATCGTCTGTTATCTTGTTCCTCCATCCTATTATCATTCTATTCCTGTATTCTGCTCCATTCTCTTTCTGTACCCAAATTACTGCTATTTCCTTAATCAAATAATCCAATAAAAATAGGTTTTAAGTTTAAAGATGTATCGTACTGCCATATGAAGCCAATACGATAGCCCAGTGCGATACAGTAACATTACATAAAATTAGGATGGTAACACAATAGCATAATGTATTGTTATAAAAGACTGGTACGGTAGCACAGCACGGTACAATAATACGATATGAATATAATAAATCATAGATATTCTTTTTTTGTCTTAAAAGCAACATTTTTCTCATCCTTTGTCCACTTTATCATAGATATTACCTTAAATTAGCATTATTATTTACCATAAAATATTTTTTGCTTTTCCAGGAAATGAATCATGCATTACCGAAAACAATTTCACCATTGTTACAAACTTTTAACAGTGATGAAAAGGAGGAAAAGCCAGTAAGTGTAAAACCAAAACTACGATCAACGACAGTAATAACAACAACAACATCATCACCACAACCACTACCACCAATAACAACAACAACAACAACAACAACAACAATAATGGCAATAGCAGCAACAATAACAATAACACCTCTAACAACACAACCAGTTTTATTAAGTCGTATATCACCGGCAATAGTTTTTGCTGATGAAGCAAAACGAGCTAGAATACAGGTAAGAAAATTCGGAAAGAAAAAACGAAAAATTATATTTAAAAATGCAAACAATTAA